GCGGGACAAAACATGAATGTCGCGGGCGGGAGCGGGACCAGATAAGATATATTTCTGCGGGAGTGGGTGGGCGTGGGACAGAATCTTGCGGGAGCGGGATGGATTTTGCAGGTCTCTACATTAAAGCCTGTTTACCCCAAACCAAATCACTTGAATCCTGTATATGTAAAGTACTTTAAAACATTTTTAATGCATTCATCATACACCTTACAATCTTCAAAAAAATTTTTTAAACATTAGCAAAGGCATTAGGTATCAGATTCACATGAATAAATGCTGTAACATGTTTATGTTAATTCAAGTTTACATAAAAAAGTTTAAAATGTATATGTTAGGGATGTGCATCTCATGACTCAGGCCGATACGATACGCATGATCACTTTTAATGCTTAGAGTCCTGTTTCATAAAACAAGTTTACCAAATAAGCCAGGCTTATTTCAGTTAGTTTGACTCATTCATTGCCAAAATGGTTCCATAAAGCAAATTTAACATTGGCCTAGATCAAGCTTACTCACTGTGACAACTTATGCTGGGAAACTAACCTGGTCTAAAGCAGGTTAACTGTCAGACTAAGCTGAGTTCCTTTAACACTGACCAATAGGAACCCAATGATATTACCACTCTCTCACATAGGCTACTATTATTTGACTCTTTTTTTTGTGTTTTTTTTACAGATTCTAGCCATGCAGCCTTTCTCTTTGGTTTTATGACAGCTGTACCTTTTATAGTTTGCAGAACAGATAACAGAACATTAGAACATTATTGCTCTTTAAAGCATTAAAATACCTAAATTAAAAGTTAAAATCACTGAATTAAAAATGACTATTTTAACAGCTATAAGAAACAGTTACTTTCACACCATACACATAGTGGTATCGGAAAGTGACTGTTTACAATAATAAAACTTCATACACCTGATAATATATAAAAATCAGTATACATATAAAAGGAGTCTCATCTCAAAATAACGATTTAGACAACTAGGCTATAGCTACTGGCGCTTTTCTGGGAATTAGCCTATTACATTTACAAGCCCTTTCAAGGGATAGCTAGTTCACCCCAAAAATTTAAATTTGCTGTTTATTTACTCACCCTCTGGCCAACTAACATGTAGATGGCTTTTTTTTTCTAGCTGAAACCAAACCATGGTCTCTCTGGTGATTCATAAAACGCAGGTCAAGGGGTACCCTTAGAGACAAAAAAACGATAAAAAAATGAATCCCCGCGGCTCCACAGTATATTAAAGCCTTATGAAGTGAAACTATCGGTCTCTGTAAGAAATTGAACATTATTTACAACATTATTAACTTACCTGTAATTCATAGCCAAGTCAAATGAATAGTACGAGCTTACGCACGTATGATGACGCGGACGTAAACTGACGCCGTTGTTGTTTACAACAGAGACGGAGGACGCGTTTGCGTAAGGTGGCTTGGCTTTAGCAATATTAATATTTAAATTGTATTGTTCATCAAAATGGTGCTTACTTTTGCTTATCCTGGATGACTGGTGAGGAGGTCGTTGTAAACATACGTGTAAACGTGGATGGGCCGAGGCTGATTGTTTGGTGAACTTTAACAAATATAACAAAAAATTCTGACAACTATAGATAGATATATAGATAGATGGATAGATGGATGGATGGATGGATGGATAGAAAATTAAGCTCACATTTTTATATGAGATATACAGTATATGTAGCTACAGTAGGCTATGTATATGTAGCCTAAATAACGTTTCACCCCCAAAAAATGTAATTATGCAATTTATTCACCCTCACGTTGTAACCTGTGTGTTTCTTTGTTCTGTTGAATACAAAAGAAGATATTTTGGGCAGAATGTGGGCAAACAAACAGTTACTAGTCCCCATTGACTTCCACAGTATTTTTTTCCATATAGCCTAATGGAAATCAGTGGAGACTAGGGATGTGCATCTCATGACTCAGGCCGGTACGATACGCATCTCGATGCATAGCCAATGATACGATACATTAAATATGCATATGAAGCACCTACCGATGCAGTGCGATTCGATTCGATACAATGCGATTCGATGCAATACAATGCAATGGAGAAAATATGATCACTTTTAATGCTTAGAGTCCTGCTAAGTTTACCAAGTTTACCAAATAAGCCAGGCTTATTTCAGTTAGTTTGACTCATTCATTGCCAAAATGGTCAAATTTAACAAATTTAACATTGGCCTAGATCAAGCTTACTCACTGTGACAACTTATGCTGGGAAACTAACCTGGTCTAAAGCAGGTTAACTGTCAGACTAAGCTGAGTTCCTTTAACACTGACCAAAGGAACCCAATGATATTTCCATTCTCTACCATGTTATTATTTGACTTTTTTTTTTTTACAGTTTCTAGCCATGCAGCTTTTCTTATCACTTTTAATGCCTCGAGGCCTGTTTCATAAAACAAGTTAACCAAATAAGCCAGGCTTATTTCAGTTAGCTTGCCTTTCTCCTTTCTCTTTGGTTTTATGACAGCTGTACCTTTTATAGTTTGCAGAACAGATAACAGAAACATTATTGCTTATTGCTCTTTAAAGCATTAAAATACCTAAATTAAAAGTTAAAATCACTGAATTAAAAATGACTATTTTAACAGCTATAAGAAACACACATTAACTCATTTGAGCTTAGTAATTACTGTAGGCTACTAGCTTACATTTGATTTACCTATTACAATAGTCCCTTTACAGTTACTGCTATCATAAAAATACACTTGTATGAAGGTTTAAAATTCAACAAAAGACACATTTAATGTCCAGCAACAAATATTTTAGCAAAATGTATATTTTACTCAGAATTATTGTGCTCCTATTCGATTGCGCTCCGTCTGTTTAGCACGCATGCGCGCAGCAGCGCTCATTCACTTGCGTCAGCCTCACTCACTCCTGACAGAAAAATGTTTGCATGACTTTCTAACATTTACAGATGAAAAATATACCTGTGACATGTCAGTTATGCACTGAGGAAAACACAACGTCTCAAATGCATTAAACAGCACAGATATATAATTCGCTGTTTGCGATGGTGGATCGATTTGATCCA